GTCTGGTCAAGTATGTGACTGTGGAGTTGGCATTGCCGAGCGTATATCCGTTTTTTTTTTTTGTTTGTTTGTTTGTTTTTAAGACTAAAACAGGTCCTTATGGCCCTGGCTCCATATCTATTCTGGGGAGCATCGGTGCAGTTTCTATTCCACCGGCACATCGGATACACAACAAGGACACCCCCCTCACTCTTCCTTCCACTTGGCTGAAGAAACCCTGAGCAGCATTAATTGCTCCAGATGCCTGGAGGATTGGCTCAATTTGGCTGTCAGCTTGCCTTCCATCTACATTTCCTCTCAGGTTTGCTTTTCCCCAAGCCTGCCAAATTCAACTTGAAACCAAGACAAGACGAAGGAGTGCGGGTAGTGTATATCCGTTCGTAACTTGGTAAAAAAAAACAGAAAAAGAAAAAGAAGGTTAGTGATCTTCGTACAAAGCTGGTGGTTTCCACCTCGGGAGTAGCCTTCGGGCTAGGGCCCAATGGTGCTAGGTTTAAGCAAGAAAACTCAGGAACATGACCATGATTATGACCTGGTTCATGCTCGCTGCACACAAATATATCGCCAGTGGCGCCCGACCCTTAGCCTGAGCAGAGTAAGGAAAAGAAGGGATACAGCGGCACCATGGTCTCCATTCATCGATGATTGATTAATTCGTTATTCTTAAAAGTGAAGTTCTGCGACACTGGTTACCTTTGTGTGCATGTTAGTGACAGAATGGTCCAAACTTTCCGCCATATCCCACAATCACTGTCCCACAATCAGTCGCCCCTAGTCAAATATCCGAAAGTTGTGGGTCTCTATTGTTGGTTCCAACAGGTTGAGTCAAGATTTTCCTGCTTACCTTAAACTTTGGGTCCTGGTTTTGTGAAAGTGTTTCGACAAGCGATTTTGTCTGCCTCATTGCTGCCAAGTTTGCTGCTTCACTTCCAGCTCTCCTATCCGCCATGACACCAGCCTCCTCCCTCCACATTTGCTTCTGCACAAAAAAACGCATATTAATCCAATCGCTCAGTTTCTCAAGAACGGATAAGGCCTTGAGATCTCCCACTGATCCTGTTATAATCTGTAGGCAAGTCAAGGAAATCTATCCAGAAAAAGTAATTAGGAATCTGTTCAGCTACATAGTAAATATACACATGCCTGCCTTGCATTCTCTTTTTCAAGATGCAGGATTGGACAAGCGCATCTCACCTCTCTCTCTCTCTCTCTCTCTCTCTCTCTCTCTCTCTCTCTCTCTCTCTCTCTCTCTCTCTCTCTCTCTCTCTCTCTCT